TAGGTTGCCTATTTGCTCTGGTAATTATTTCTTTTGCTTTGCAGAAGCTTTATGGTTTAATTAAGTTCCACTTATTTATTTTTGTTTTAGTTGCATTTCCTTTCACTGTTTTTGTTATAATTTTTTTGTCTAGGCTGATGTCCATAAGTGTTTTTCCTAGGTTTTAGTCTAAGAATTTTATGGTTTCAGGTCTGATGTTTAAGTCTTGAATCCAGCATGGGTTAATTTTTGTATATGGGGAGAGATAGGGATCAAGTTTCATTTTTCTACATGTAGCTGTCCAGTTTTCCCAGCACCATTTATTTAATAAGATGTCTTTTCTCCACTGTATGTTTTTGTCTGCTTTTTCAAAGATCAATTGGTTGTAGGTATTTGTGTTTATTTCTCGAGTCTCTATTCGATTCTTTTGGTCCATGTGTCTGCTCTTGTACCAGTACCATGCTATTTTGGTTACTACAGCTATGTAGTAAAATTTGAAGACAGGTAAGGTGATGCCTCCAATCTTACTACTCATTATTGGTCTATTCAGGATTTATATTTCTTTCTGATTCAATACTGGGGGGATTGGATGATTCCAAGAATTTATCCATTTCCTTTAGATTGTCTAGTTTGTTTGCATAGATATGTTCATAATTGTCTTGGATGATCTTTTGAATTTCTGTTGTATTAGTTATAATGTCTCCTCTTCGTTTCTTATTTGAGTTAATTTGATTCTTCTCTCTTCATTTCTTAATTTATCTACCTAGTAGTCTATCAATTTTGTTTATCTTTTCAAATAACCAACTTTTTGTTTCATTGATCCTTTTTATTTTTTCCATTTCAATTTCAGTTAGTTCTGCTGTGCTCTTCATTATTTCTTTCTTTTCTGCTAGCTTTAGGTTTGGTTTGTTTATGTTTTTCTAGTTTCTTGAGGTTTGATGTTAGGTTGTTGATATGTGATCTTTTAGTCTTACTAATATAGGCCTTACATGGTAAAAATTTTCCTCTGAGTACAGCTTTGGCTGTGTCCCAGGTGTTTTGATAACTTGTTTCATTTTTCTTATTCATTTCAAGGAATTTTTTTAATTTTTAATTTTGAAGTTGGGTACAATTCAGGGTTAAGTATACAAATTATTATTATGCAGGTACCCTTGTTGATGAGGTATGCCCCCTCTCCCTCAGCAGAATCCCTGGGGGAGACTCCCCCCACCCCAGCAATTTCCCACTACTGACAATCCTTATCATATATAGTATTACAATAAAATTATTCAAGGTCCACTTATGAGTGAGACCATGTGATGGAATTTTTAAATTCCCTTCTTGATTTCATTGTTTACCTAAGGTTCATTCCGGAGAAAATTGTTTAACTTCTATGTCTTTGTTAGGTTTTACAAGTTCTTCTTGGAGTTAATTTCTAGTTTTATTCCACTGTGTTGTGAGCTGGTGCTTGATGTGATTTATATATTTTTAAAATTTATTGACACTTGATTTGTGGCCTATCATATGGTCTGTCTTAGAGAATGTTCAATGTGCTGATGAGAAAAATGTATATTTTATAGTTTTGGGATGGAATGTTCTGTAGATGTCTATTAGTTCCACTTCCTCTAGAGTACTCTTTAACCATAGTTTTGTTTGTTTGTTTGTTTACTTTCTGTCTTGATGATTTGTCTGTTACTGTCAGTGGAGTGTTGAAGTCCCCCACTATTGCTGTATTGTTGTCTATCTCTTGTTTTTGCAGCATTTATTTTTTAAAGTGTGGAGCTCTGGTGTTAGGCGCACATATATTTTAAATTTACGTCTTCTCTTCGGAGTGATCCCTTTACTATTATATAATGGCCATCTTTATGTTTTATTACTGTTGTTAATGACTACTCCTGCTCATTTTTGGTTTTCGTTTGTATGGAATATTTTTCCCCTACCCTTTTACCTTGAGTCTATAGAAGTCCTTGTTGTGAGTTTAGTGAGTATCTTGAAGGTAGCAGATATTTGGGCGTTTTTTAAAAATCCATTCTGCCAGTCTACATCTTTTTGGTGGTGCATTGAAATGATTTGCATTCAGAGTTAATAATAATATGTAAGGCACTATTCTATTCATCACAGAGGCTGTTATCTGGTTACTTTATTTATTTTCTCTATTGTGTTGGTGTTCTATGAAGCCTGTGAACTTTCTGATTTCCAGTGTTTTTTATTCGTGTATTTTAACCTTTTGTTTCAGTATTTAGAACTCCTTTGAATATTTCTTATAAAGCTAGTCTAGTGGTGAGTAATTCCCTCAATGTTTCATTGTCTGAAAAGAATTTTGTTTCTCCTTCACTTATAAAACTTTATTTTGAGGGATCCAGAATCCTTGACTGACAGTTATTCTGTTTGGGGAGATTGAAGATGAACCCCTGATTTCTTCTGGTTTCTTCTGAGAAGTCTGCTGTTAGTCTGATAGGTTTATCTTTGTCAATTATTTGTTGCTTTTGTCTCACTTGTCTTAAATTTTTTCCTTTACATTAACTTTGCATAGCCAGATGATTTTATGTCTTGGGGCTGACCTTTTTGCAATGACTCTTCTGGGCATTCTTTGGGCTTCTTGTATCTGGCTGTTTAGCTCTCTTGTAATGCCTGGGACGTTTATTTCCATTATTTCCTCAAACAGGTTTTCCAAGCCTGTTGCTTTCTCTTTTTCCTTAGGAACACCCATGATCCTTAGGTTTGGATGTTTTACATACTGCTGCATTTCTTGGAGACTTTATTCTGTTCTCTTGATTCTTTTGTCTTTATGGTTGTCTGATTGTGTTAATTCAGAAGGCTTGTCTTCAAGTTCTGAGATCCTTTCTTCTACTTGTTCTTATCTACTTTTGAAACTTTCCACTGCAGTTTGTACTACCCTAAAATGCTTCTTTCATTTCTAGAATTTCAGCTTTTTTTTTTTTTTTTTAAGATATCTGTCTCTTTGGAGATTCTTTTCATCCACGTCCTAAATAGTTTATTTTTTTATTTCTTTGTGTTGGTTTTCAATTTTCTCCTGAAATTCATTAACCAGTTTTATCATTCAGCCATTTTAATTCTGTGTCTGGAATTGCAAAACTTTCATTTTGGTTAGGGCTCATTGCTAAAGCATTGGTGTGGTCTTTTGGACCTACGGGAGAACTGTTTTTCCATATTGTCAGAATTATTTTTGTGGCTCTTTCTCATTTGGGTAGACAGTTTCTTATTTGAGGTTAGCAAAGGCTGACATAGGCACAGTAGTTATATATCTCCTTGGTGTGGTGAGTTTCTCGATTGCCAGATTTAGCAGCCATGTGCTGTGTACCCGCACTGTTTCACAAGATCCTGAGTGGCTGAAGTGGCTTGTAAAGTGTAACTAGCTTACACTTGAGATCAGGTCTTCACCAAGGCTGAGATATTATATGCAGTGTGGTTAGCTGTACTGCTGACCTCTGGCTGGGGGTAACACTTGTCTGAAAAACCTGGTTATCATGGTGGCTGTAAAATTTCTCCTTGGCGACTATTGCTCCAAGGAAGTGACCAGCCAGCCTAGAGCAAGGATAGAGCTCTGGGAATTTCCCACAATTTCTGCTGTTTTGAACCTTCTAGGGTAGTGCAAGAGAAAGGAGATGTAAAGTACCCTTCAAGGGTGCACTCTTAGCTGCCCCAATGGAGATTAGGAGGGAGTCCCAGGCCACTGGGGTCACTGAAGAGCAGGCCCAGAAGAGTTCACAAGGGGAGTGAGAGGTTACTTTGACAGTGTGTCTTATCTGGCACCTACCTTGGCCTTAGACAATCTGCAATCTTAGTGTCAAGGTGCAGCTGGCCTCTGGGTCTCAGGTGTTCATAGGCAACCTGCCTAGCCAGGAATTGTCTGCACCTGTGGAGTTTGCTTTGGGGACCATTCCCTTACAGTCTTCTTGGAAAGTGGCCGCTGCACAACCTGCAAGAGTTGAGTTCCTGGGAAATGGTGCCTAGTGCTACTAAAGGCTTCTTTCCTGCACCATTCTGTGGCAGAGTATAGCTGTGGGTCAGGTAGTTTCCCATGAACCTGGGGTCCTGCCTGATTCTGGGAGACTTGGTAGGTTCACGGGAAACTACCTGACCCATAGCCATACTCTGCCACAGAGTGGTACACAGCACAGAGCACAGAACTCCCAAATTCACATCACTCACCTTCCTCGCTCTCTGGATGTTGTGGTATACTGCTATGATGCAGGCAAGAGTTCAGCCAGTTCTAGCCTAGGTTGGTGGAAATTTTTCTTCTTCTTTGCTCTAAATGGTTCTTATCACTGTTTTTGAAGACTTGTGGTTCATGCTGCTGGATCTGTTCCTCTCTGGTTGCTGGGGAAATTCTATATCTCCATTACTCTGTAGGAAAAGCTCACTCTAGCTGTCTCATGTCAGCCTCTTAATCCCTGCTAAGCTATCCAAAATTAAATTGCAGTTTATCTTTGACATTATGGCTAATAATGGTTGCATTGCCTTATCACTTGCTACTACCAAAGGCCGGTGATGTATAGTTATTTGTGATTTTTGCCTAAGTGTATATTTCAGTTTGTTACACTGCGAGATGGATGTGTAGAAACAAGTCAGCACCTGGCATCAGCTTCTGAGTTCAGCTTTGTTATGCCTTCCTTTTTTTCTCATGTGTGGGAGTTCTGAAAAAGTAAAAAAGCAAAACATAAAAATACTACTTGGCCATGAATCATGAATGAAGTAAAATGTAAAAGATCAACTCTATTCTGTTAGTAGCTAATTAGAACTGTCTATCTCTAAATATTTCCCTTGTATTTCCCTTGTTTACTGAGCCGTTATCTCCTAGATTGATAGGTTTAAATCGTCATATGCCATCTACAAAATTATTTGCTCTTTAAAAGTACAGTCACTGGACCACTCACGTCTTAGTTTTCTTTTCAGTATTTATCGCGTCCTTTGAAGTAAATTATCCACTAAGCATTTAGGCTTTATGAGACATTAATATACCTATGAACTGAAATGTTTTAGATTTTTCACTAATGAGAGTGCACACTCATCTCTCCTAGAACCTCCAAGGCCCATTGCTCCCCCCCAGCTGCTTGGTGTTGGGCCAACATATTTGCTGATTCAACTGAATGCCAACTCGATCATTGGCGATGGTCCCATTATCCTGAAGGAAGTAGAGTACCGAATGACATCGGGATCCTGGACAGAAACCCATGCGGTCAACGCTCCAACTTATAAATTATGGCATTTAGATCCAGATACTGAATACGAGATCCGTGTCCTACTTACCAGACCTGGAGAAGGAGGAACAGGACTCCCAGGACCTCCACTCATCACCAGAACCAAATGTGCAGGTAAGAAGAATAGCAGACCTTTCTACCTTGTGAAGGACTTTAGCATAAGACCTACAATATCAAACCTACAGTATTAAAAGTTCTCAGTGTTAGGTAGATGATGTAGTTCTAAGAGTGCCAAGGGACTGGGTAAATAATCACCTTGATTATGTCATAATTTGCCTGGTTTAAGAACAGTGTGAGTGCTTCTCTACTATTAATCTATTGTTATGATGAATCTGAAGTCTTTTTTGCATGGTAATTTTGGTGAATCTGCTAGACATTCAGTCCAAAAATCTCTGATAGCTGTTGGGGAAACTATTATTGAGAGCAAAGACCTTTTCCATTCAAGCAAACTCTGAATACCTTTTTACCGGGTGGAAATTCTCTTCCTCAATAATTTTGTTATAGTCAGTATAAAGGCCATATCTCATCATGCAGATAAGTGACTCACTCAGGACAATGGTTTAGTGCGATAACTATTCTATTCAGAAAATTCACTTGTTGAGGATTAGCTCAGCAGCCTGACACCCAGCTATGGAACAGAGACTTTCCTGATATTTTAAAGCCTTGTTAGTCCCCTCCCATTGACTAAGACAGAATGGTGAAAATAATAGCATACAGAGGAAAAAAAGTGAAATTAAAAAATATATATAATCATGCATCCTTGATCCTTGCTGAGCCATGTTATTATAACAAGATAAATTGTTAGATATTAATTAAAAACTACTAAAAATGTTTATTATTTGAGTACATTTTTACTGCAGTGTTTATTATTGAAAATTTTTAGTTTAGTACAGTGTTTAGTTTAAAGTGGCATTTTATATTAATCCAGCCAGCATTATGTTGAAAAATGAGAGCTGAAAACTAAAACTATGAGGATCTGTGAATACATAAATATGTATAAAATGTCTTTTGTTTCTTGAACATCTTTTTATCATTTATAATATTGTTGGGCTACTTACAAAGAATACTGATCTAAGCAAAACGCATTCAGTTCCTTGATATACTGTGATAATTAAATGTTAGTAACCCAGTTAGCAGCACCTATTGAAAGAAGTTCACTAACAGGAAGTTTATCTGCTCAAGCATTAGTTTAAGATTTAGACATTGACTGTCTGATGGTGGAAAACAGCTTAACCTAGAAGATGTTGGGCAAATCTTCATGGAGAAGCCAAAATCTCACAATTTTCTTTTCAAATATTCTGGATAGCTACATCTTTTCATTCAGTGTTACGTTACAAATTGTTTTTATGCTAGGAGATTAACTTTCTGAAGGAAAGGCAAGTTGACTCCACAACTTCAACTAGTCAGAGAAATCATTGAAAGAACAAATAATTTGGAAACTGAAAACTAGATCAGTATTCAAAAATTAATATCCCATGTTAAAAATAGAAAAAATAGAGTCTGTTTTAATGAAGATATTGCCCAAATATTTTTTAATAAAATTACTTTTTTTCTATCTTTAATCTTTATAATCAATATACAAATTATAGTAACTGACAATAACTTGCTATTCCGGTGGTCTTTCTCTTGACTTCCTTTGACCAAACTTTTTCTTTTAAATATCTCATTGCTTTATTTTTTATTTTCATCAAAATAGACCTTTAAAAATTAGCATTAGCACACAGTGTATGTTATTTTGACATAATTTTTGTTTAACCTAGAAATTATTTAAAATTGGTCATTGGTGTGAAAGCCATGGAGATTGCAAGTAAATGAGACAATGTTTTAAAGCTAGTGATACTGTATTAAGTGAATAAAAACAACATGTTAATGACCATTGACTTATTGCTATTGAATGCTTATTCTTTGAGTGTATATTGAACTGTGTAACATGCGAAATATTTTTTTCTGAGAATAACCTTATCTGTGTGAGAGAGGATAGAATAAAAATAAACTTATACTCATAGCTGCATTCTTATATAAATGCCTTGACATTTTGGATTTATGTTAGTCTTTTTTTTAATCTGATTCTCCTTTTTAGAAACATTTAATTTGTGTACTGTTTATGGCATAAAATGCAGTCAGTTTCAGTTTTACTTCCAACTGTATTAATTGTTTTTATCTTTAAAACTATGTTTCACATGTGATGTCTTTATGTCACATGCTTATTATAATTAATGCCCTCATAAAGTTTGTCTGATATAGGTTTTTTAGGGTAAAGTGTTTGTAGACTAGATTTTCAAGTGTAGATTTGAGAGAAACCATAGTTACTATTTCATTAGGAATGTCCACTCGTCTTGCTGTATTATTAGAAAAGGAATGCTTACGGGAGTATATATACTGCATTAATTTTTAAACAGTCTGAGAAGCATACGTTGAATATGATTGATATATAAATCTAATTAAATTCTGAGTACATTTGATTTTCTGAAGATTTTACAATGCCCATCTATTCCCCTTCTTTAGGATCCATTTCCCTTTCCCCAAATTTAAGTTTCTTTAGTCTTTGCCAGTCCCGTTGCTGGTCTAAGCCTGGGATCCCTTATCAACAAAGTGAATCACAACTTATACAAACTATGATATTAGCTGATTATTACTGCGGGTTTCAAAAGACCAAAAATTATTTTTAATCTGGAGAATTGATACTTTTGAAACCCAAACACAACCTTTGGAAGAAGGTCACATCTAATTCTGTTAAATTCTGTCTACCTGAATACTGGCCTGTAAGAGGAAATGAATACCATTTCTTTTTTTAATTTTTTTTTTAAATTTCTAATTTTAAAGACGTGGTGTACAATCCAGGTTTAGGTATACAAATGTGCATTATGCAGGTATCCTTGTTGATAAGGTATGCCCCTCCTCCCCTGGCAGTTTCCCTCAACTGCCAATTCCCCCATCCCTCCCCTGCAGTTTCCCACTATTGCCAATCCCTTTCTTATAGTATTATAATTGTTTAAAGTCTGCTTATGAGTGAGAACATATGGCACTCTGTTCTTTGTTTTTGTGATGGGTCACTGAATATGATAGACTCTAAATCCATCCAAGTTGCTGTGGAGTCCATATGTTTGTCCTTCTTTGTGACTGCATAATATTCCATTGTTTATATGTACCACATTTTAAAAAATTCAGTCTAGTTTTGTTGGGCAGCATGGTTGGTTCCATGTTTTGCTATTGTGAATAGTGCTGCAATAAGCATGCATGTACAGGTATCTTTTTGTAGAATGATTTGTCTTCCTCTGGGTTTATTCCCAAAATGAGGATTGCTGGATCATATGGAAGGTCAATTTCTTGTTCTTTCAGAAATTGCCACACTGTTTTCCAAAGACGTTGCACTAGTTTGCATTCCCACCAGCAGTGTAGAAGCATTCCTTTTTCTCCACATCCTGACCAGCATCTGTTGTTTGTTTTATTAATGATGGCCATTCTTACTGAGGTTTGGTGGTGTCTCAATGTGGTTTTGATTTGCATTTCTCTGATGTCTAGTGAGCCTGAGCCTTTTTTCATGTGTCTGTTGGCTGCCCATATATCTTCTTTTGAGACGTGTCTATTCATGTCTTTTGCCCACTTTTTAATGGGGCTGGTTTTTTTTTTTCATTTTCTTTTTCTTTTGGTGCATCTCAGTACCTTCTAGATCCTAGATGTTAGACTTTTGTCAGATATACAGTTGGCAAATATTTTTTCCTATTCTGTGTGTTATCTCCCCACTCTCTTGAGGGTTTCTTTTGTTTTGCAGAAGGTTTTCAGTTTGATGAGAACCTATGTGTCTATCTTATCTCTTATGGCATGGGCACTTGGGGTTTTGATCAGGAATTGGTTGCCAATTCTAATTTCCATAAGGGTATCTCCTGCATTTTCTAAGATACTTATAGTTTGAGGTTTTACGTTTAGGTCTTTGATTCATTTAGAGTTAATTTTTCGGCATGGTGATAGGTAGGGGTCCTGTTTCAACCTTCTACAAGTGAGCAGCCAGTTTTCCCAGCACCATTTACTGAATAGGTTCTCCTCTCCTCAGTGGTGGTTGTTGTAGGCTTTGTCAAAGATGAGTTGGTTGAGAAATTGAGGTTTTGCTTCTGGAATCTCTATCCTGTTCCATTGGTCTGTATGCCTGTTCTTGTACCATTACCAGGCTGTTTTGATTACTGTAGCTTTATAGTAAAGTTTGAAATCTGGAAATGTTATACCTCCTGCTTTATTTCTTTTGCTAAGGATTGTTTTGGCTATTCGTGGTCGTTTATATTTCCATATGAATTTCTGTATTGTCATTTCCAGGTCTGAGAAGAATGATGTTGGTAGTTAACTTTAATGGGTATTGTGTTGAATCTGTAGATTGCCTTTGGTAGAATGAACATCTTAATAATGTTGGTTCTTCTAATCCATGAGCATGGAATATTTTTCCATTTGTTTGTGTCCTCTTGGATTTCTTTGAGCAGCGTTTTGTAGTTTTCACTGTAAAGGTCTTTTTCTTCTCTGGTTAGAAAAATGCCAAGGTACTTCATTTTTTTGTGGCTATTGTGAATGGGATTGTGCTTTTTATTTCGTTCTCTGCCTGCTTCTTGTTTGTGTAAGAATACAACTGTCTTTTGAACATTTATTTTGTACCCCGAGGCTTTTCCAAAGTGCAAGCAGGTTTTTGACAGATTCTCTTGGATTTTCGAGGTATAGGATCTTATCATCAGCAAAGAGGGATAACTTAACGTCCTCGTTTCTATTTGGATACCCATGATTTCCTTGTCTTGTCTGATTGCTGTAGCTAGGACTTCCAACAGTGTTGAACAAGAGGGTAAGAGTGGGCAGCCTTGTCTTTTTCCAGTTTTCAGGGGGAAGTGTTTCCAGTTTCTGTTCACTCAACAGTATGCTAGCTGTGTGTTTATTGTTGAATACTAGTTGTATAAACCATTTTGTTTTGCTTAGAACTGGTAATACTCCATGTTATAATTGTACAGTGTTACAATGTCATCTGATTAAACAAATGTTGATTATTTTGAAGTAGCTTTTTACTGCACCCTGCATCTGAGACCATCAGGAAGCCTTAGAAAGAAATATAAATACTTCTTATCTATATACTTCTTATCTATATGTGGGTATGAGACATTAAATTTACATTAATTTCAGAAATTCCCATTTTATATCAGTATATCACAGAGGAACAATTTTTGTGACTTCTAAATACCAAGGTTAATAATACCAAGAGTACATTACTTACTATTTGTTATTTTTAAAATTCCTTTTTTATGTATTTAAGTCACTGACATTTTATTTTTGACAATAGTAAGTGTTGTTTATTTGGCAAAAATCTGTCAATATATAGTTTTCCAGCAAGTCAATAGAAAGGTTTTACTTATATGTATTAATGAATAAGTTTTATATTTTCAGATGAAAATGTAGTCTTTTTTTTTTGTAGCCACGAGTTGAGTAATAATACTTTAGAAGCAACTTAGGAAATGAATCTATTATGATTTTTCACTTAACATCAATCTTGTGAGTTAGAGATATTATTATTTCACTTTTGTAGTTATTGAATGTAACACTCAGTAGCAAAACAAAACAAACAGTGACTTGTTCAATATCAGACAGCTGAGGTTTCACCTCTTTTCTGGTACTTTAAAAGCCTTCATTCCTTTCCATCTTACTCCTACTATGGGTGATTTTGTTTTCCCTCTTATAATAGTATAGCATGTGTAAATAAAAGCACAGCAAGTATTTCTAGGAGGCATGCACATATTTTTTTAAATTTTAAATTCAAGGGCACAAGTGCATGTTTTTTACATGGACATACTGCGTATTTTTGAGTGTTGGGCTTCTGGTGGCCCATTACTCAGTTAGTGAACACTGTACCTGAGAGGTGACTTCTGAACCCCAACTCTCCTTCTTTCCTCCTCTCTTTCACTGTCCCCCATGTCTATTATTTCCGTCTTTGTGGCCACTTAGTAGGCATGTACATTATTAAAAATAGAACCTACGTGGCTAACTTTTCCTCTGA